ATACTGGCCCTGAACACTTCCAGTGATGAAGCATCCACAGCTTCTCTGTGCAGCCTGTTCCAGTGTCTCACCACCCTCACAGTTTGCAACCACTACCTCAACTTGCTTCAGATAACTCAGCTCTTTCCTACATCAAGGACTCCATACAAAGGATGAATGTTCAGAGGACACAAAATATTACAGCATGGGGTTTCAGCATTTGCTTCTCGTCTTGATCCCTCTTGTCTTGATCCCATCTGAACTTTGCAGTTGGGATGGGTACAGGAATGAAAGTACCTACAAAATCCCCCTCCACAATATCTCCATCTTGGCAGTCAGCAGACCACTACTTCTTGGAAAATTTGGCATGGCATCTTTACCCCAAAAGGAGAGACTCATGCATGTCTCATCTTGTCACAACACATGAACATACACAGCCCTGCACCTCTCTTTTCTAGTCAAAGTCAAGCAGAGATGTGACAGGCTGAAATATTTTCCCTGTCAATAACCAAATGCTCCAGTTCCTGTGCCTTCAGCTTTGCAGCAGCTTGTAAAGCAAACTGCATTGACTGCTGGAATCTGCAGTAGAATCCCATTCATTTTTTTTTTCCACACAACAGCTGGGTTAAAAATCTTTGACTAACATGGTTTCCCTGCCATACTAATCACTTTTCTTAATCAAACCAATGAACCATCCAATTTAAATCTGTTTCTCATAAAACAGACATTTCACAAAGATTCAGGTGTGATTAATAAGCACACAACTCATGACACTGAGCTGAAAGGGGCCTCCAGCTCCCAGTTCCTGCCTTTCCTGACAGCCAGAGATGTGAAGAAAGCAGTCACCCAGCTCAGGGTCAGGGCTGTGACAGCCCCTCAGCCTGCTGGGAAAGGACAGATAAACTGCTGGGTCTCTGTTGTGTTGTAGCTGAGGGGAGTAGCTGTAGTACTGCAGCAGAAGGACTTTTAAAGGCTCCAGCTGAAAATTAAGCATCTTGTTATTTTAAAGGATGTTTGAAGTTAAAGTCCTATGCCTCACACTCAGCTGCAATGAACAGAACAGGTGGACTGTTTCTAAAAAACTTCCTCACTGCAGGGGGAATAAAATGAAATTAAGCCAGACCACACATAGGCAGATGTTCCTACAGCAAGGCAATTCCCAGACAGAGAAGTTCTGATCCATGAACTGCTTCAATGCATGGTACCAAACCCCCCATCTGTGCTGGAGAAAAAAGCATGATGCTGCTTTGTTAATGGGTTCACTGTACAGGAACACAGTGACACAGGTTTGTGCTGCTGCTCTCTCCCTTCCTAGTAATCCCAGGGAAACCATGGAGCCTCACTGAAATAACTCAAGGTTTCCCACACTCTGCCAGCCAGCAGCACCTCAGAGGGACATTGTGCAAAAACCACCTCCGTGAGTGCAGTAGCACATAGAGCAAGGAGGAATTTGCCATGAGAGCTGTCCACAGCTTGAAATGGCCTGTGGTTTGTAGGCTTGCAGCTTACCCATATGAGAGCACACAGCCCCCCCACCCAAGCAGCCACTGCATAATGGGAAAACACAAAGAGAAGTGAAGAAAGGCTGAAGACAGCATCACTAAAACAAGAAATGAGCTCCAAGGAAGAATGCTGCTTGAGAATAGGCAGTGTTAGGTTCAAAAAAATTTTAATAGAGGAATAAATAAATGCTGTCAGTACAAAGTGACATTTCTAGTCCTTGAAAGCTGTCTCTGCTGTTTGATGGAGCACTGTGGCAGCCCTCTGAGTGTGATGCTTATACACTATTATGACTGTTATTTTGGAACTGAGTTGACTGATTTGTGTTAGGGAGCATCTCATCTATGTTTCCTTCAGCTGATCCTTTGAGGACTGACAGACACACATCTATGCAGTCTCAACCAGTGTTTTGCCTGTGAGTGCCTTGATGTTGCTTTGTTCCTTTAAGATTCCCTTATGGTTTGTCCAGGCAATCCTGATGGGCGAACCCAACTTGACAAACTTCCTCCAGATTACCACAAACCAGCACATCAGTAAGATACAGCAGTAGTACAGATCTCCCAATTTCTTCACCACAAACCTAAGTAAAGGTTTCACACTTGTTGCAAACATTGCCCAGCCTGAGAAGGTAATGAGCAGGTCTGTGGGTTTGCACATGAGCTCCCCCAGAAATGAGAAAGAGTAGCCAGGTGAAGAAAGGACAAGGACTTGGGTCTTTTCAGGAGCAGTGATGAGACTAACAGGGTCGTAACATGTGGGCTGCTCCCTAAAAACAACATGAAAGAGCTCTTCTCAGCAAGAAATACATGGGAGTTCTCCAGTGCAAGACAAATCCAAGGACATGATAAAGGAAAGGCAACTGTACATGGAATCTCACACTTGCCTTTGCAGTTCAGGAAAGAGGAACAATTGCTTCTAAGAAATGCTGTTATGCCCTGAAGCAGAGGATGAATTGAACCCATTAGAGTTGTTCAATATGCTCTCTGGTGGCCACTTCAAAACAGTGGCTTTTGTTTAGCAAAATGTGTACAGCAGTTATAATTGCAAAATTAACCTTCAAAATCAGAAACCAGCATAACTGAAGGAGCTGTATCAGCAAAACCTTCGAACAAGAACTCTGAGGGGTTGTTGCCATTTACCACCTGAAATTGCCAGCTCTGGAGCTAGACTGGGGGGTAAATGTCAGCAAAATGCTATTTTTTTCCTGGAATACAAAGACCGTTCAGTGACCAGCTGATACGTGTGGTTTCACCACAGGCAGTACTTGGGACAACTGACACCCCCTTTTCAGCTTCGCTGTGAATAAGCTATGCTTTTATTTATGCTGCAACACAAAATTACCGAGGCTCAAGTTTTTAAGACATCCCAGCATCTGGGTTGTGAAATCCACACTTTGGCAGGTGAATGAGGTTTTTATTTTTGTTTTCTGCACAGGCTCTGGGTACCTTACTGTACAAGTCAAGGTAGAGCATGTGACTCATACTACCATCATGCAAGATTATTCTTATGGTATAATTTGGGCAGGGGGAGAAAGGAAAGAAATCGTAGACTGTGCTGCTGTGTGGCCGGAAAATGAAGGAACTGTAATAAGATTTGGTCTGTGGAAACCTGAGATGGAAACTCAAGTAGCAAATTAGGGAGATATATAGCCCTCTTTCACGCCACTTGAATGCCTAAATGTGTGGCAGAATTCTCATCAACATCTCCATCCTCACACCTGGCTCTTGAGCTGTGCAACATACCTCGAGGCAGCTAGCACACACACATCCCACATCTGTCTGTCCCTCCCAGTCACCAGCTGACTCCTCTTTCTAAACAGCTTGAAGATGAATGTAGTTACACAGACCACCAGAAATCACACAGATGGAGAGAGAGAGCCTGGAGGAGAGTTGGCATGGAATGCCCCATCACTGCTTCAGTCTTGGGAACTCAACTTCCCCCTTCTGATGAAATGTAACTTTTGAGCCCAGGCTGAACACTCTAATCTGCCCTACTGCACCTGTCCTGCAGTATTAATAACCAACATAAATCCTAAAGGAAGCACTGTTCTTTATTCCTGATTTGTCAAAGGTGGATGGATTGGAAGGGTTGTGGGTAATATGGAAATGGCATAGGCAGAGGATCCCTTCTGGGAGCCTGATTATTGAAAAGCGGCTGCTATTTACACAGTTAATGCCATTCACTTCCTGCACCTGCTCAATCATTCATTTCCCAGTGCAAGCTAGCTTTGCCTTGCTGCAAAGTCAGGGAATTTAAGGGAGCTACACCTGCAGGTTTTCTTTTTCTGTGCAATGATTGCGGAGTTGAGCTTGTAAAACTCCCATTTGTACATTTCCAGTCCTTCATCTTCCTTTTCTGTCAATTATTTTCCCACCCACTTATATGTATATATGCTTTTCCAATTATTTATATTTCTGATAATGAATCCAAAGCCCTCTTTTTCTAACTCCTGTTGGACTCTCAGCCTATTCATGTACTACAAAAAAACCCATTTCATTCTGCAATTGTCCAAAAACACCCAAAAAATGAGCTAGCTTCCTCACTTATACTAGTTTTTCTTCATATTCTATCCAATCTTTGAGAGAGGCTCCATGCCCTGTATCCAGGGACATCCAATTTTTTATTATGTCCCTATGAATGTAAATTCTGTGTTGTCACCCCCAGCAAACACACTTTTTATTGTTGAATCTACTTTGAATTCTGGTTTAAAAGAAGACCAAAACAAACCACAAAGAATTATGCAGCTGACATTTCTTCCCATTCTTGCCCCAGTCTCCTTTCTTAATGAATAATGAATGATAATGAATGTCTGCAGAGAGGCTGTAGGCCACCAAGTAGAAAGGAAGCAGGGAGAGAGCTGTAGCCCCATGGTTCTGCCTATTAGTGCTTAAGCATACACCAGCTGTCTAAGTTACATTAGGGGAGGGGCAGTTGCAGCTCTGAGCACCTGGAAAACCCATCAGCAAGGGTTAAGTAATAGAAAAGTGGAAGGCTTCTGGTTTTTGGTTAGTTTTTTTTTTTTTCCATTATCAAGAGAAGGACTCCTACATAATGTAAAATCCATGCTGCTACACAGCACATAAAGCCTTTGCAATACTAACCTGTTAAGATTTGATGCCATGGTGGTGGTGAGCTGTCATCCATCGTGGAGTATCCATCTGCTTGTTGTCATACTTACACAGGATCTGAATAAACTGCCCCCATCTGCCCAAGTTTTGGCTTTGGTTACAACAGCAGGAAGAAGGTCAAGGTCAAGTAAAGCAGATAAACACGATTAACTGTGAGCAGATGATGACTCACCTGTTTTCAGTGGGAACAGCCTGGTACTAATGCATCTGATTGAACCAGGGTTGGAGGGATAAACCAACTTAAAGGGAATGACAATGCAAAAATTAAAAAGTAATAAAAAGCGTAAGGTTGAAAGCAAAACAGCTCATGACCTCTTTCTTTTTGTTCCCATCTGAAGAAACAACGGAATACTCTTAAAATCAGCATGTGTCAAGTCAGACGCTGGAAAGGAATTGAGAGGATTATTTCACAATTTTATTGCACAATTGAAAATTAACCTTTTCTTTTTTAATATTTACAAGCCATTTACTTTGCACACACAATCTAAACAGCATTTTCCCCGATAAAATTGTCACCTAGAAAACTTACACACAGACTGAAGCATATGTGTAAATTAAGTGGTTTGTGTTAAATGCAAATTGCCTCAGTCTGGAGGGGGAGGTGCTTGGGAGATGGGGCAGCATAAGGAAAGAAGACACATTTTTTCTCTTTCCTGAAACATTACTTAAAAATCTTTCCCCAAGCTGGGGAGAGAAACAGAAGAGTTGAAGCAGAAGGACAGCCAGTCAGGTGATATATTAGGAAATTCAAGGTGCTGAGTTGGAGAGTCAGAATCTTCAGTGCCACAAGCCTTGTTTCATGCATAGCTCACCCTAAAGGTCATGGCACTCCAGTTTTCCCCTGGAGAATGTAGAATCACCTTGGCCATGAGAGAAAAAGAATGAGGTTTGAGTCTTAAAAAGAAACACACATGAAAAGCCATTGTTGGGGGATTTTACCCTTTCTCAGAGTTTCTTACCTGCACTGTTGGAAATGTGCTGGCTGACACACTGCCACAAACCTGGCACAACCTGACACCAATGCCAGGGGTAATATTTTACCCACCATTATGAAGCCTGCGGTTTTGGGCTGAAAATGAGTGCTTTCCTGGCTGTTAGCACAAGCTGCCTGTCACAACACTCAGCACAGTCTCTGGAGTCCACAAATCACCCCCTCCCGTGGCTGATCCACCCACACCTTTTCTGTCACTTGGATTGTTGTTCTCAAGTTTGTCAGCTAATATTGAATATAAAGCCTTGCAGCACTTACTGCTCAGTTTCCAGGGGATTTTGACACCTGCAATCTTAAACGAGTAGGTGGCAACTCTAAAACTGATGCTCACCACCAGCACTGTAACCTTTTCTGCTGCTCACAGAGCAAGGGGTGAAGTGGTGCTGAAGTGAACTGAAATGCCCTCTTCTGAAGTCCTGCTCACTCCATTGATTCAAAGGAAACAAAGGGGACTGAAAAGGATGACAATCACCAGAAAAAGCTGCCCAGGAAGCGTCACCATCCCTGGAGGCATTTAAAAGATGAGTAGGTGTGGCCCTTAGGGACATGGCTTAGTGGTGGACTTGATCATAGATGTCTCTTCCAACCTAAATCATTCCATGACTCTATGACCAGCTCCCACACCACGGGTCTCAAGAGAGCTGCCAAGTTGTATGGACTGAATCAGGGCCTGGATGGTTCTAGCTGGGCACCTAAGAACTAAGGGTTCTGGCACTGTGAGATTCCTTTGGTATTCAGATCACTTTGGTGCTACCTTTCATCAAGTTTTGGGTACCCTAGGGAGGAGAAGTGGATTAAGTTTTGTTTTTGCATTAATGGCATTAGAGGCCTAAGTCCTCTCTCCTCTCCTCTCCTCTCCTCTCCTCTCCTCTCCTCTCCTCTCTCACTTTTTAAAATGAATATGTTATTGATAGTTTAAGGGAGCCAGCAATGGAGAGATGTCTTTTCTCTATGTAATAGTTATCATCAGATCTCAGCACTGTGGATGTTGTACATATAGTCTTTAAAATGCCTGTAAACACCAGCCTAAGGTAGATATAAAGATGGATTTAGGGCTGCAGCAGATGGCAACATGGAGAAAAAGTGGAAAACACAAGAATGGTCTGGCTAAAGAAGGATCCTGAAATGGAACCCTACAGAAATAGGGGGAAATTTGTAAATACTGGAAACCTGTGCTAAAATTCCTGGCTTGAATAGATTACTAACCCTCATAGTGCTGCTGATTCCAGCCACACAGGACTATTTACAATTACTCTTCCTCTCAAAACAGTATTTTTCTGGAAGGTCTATGGATGTAGTAGACAGAAAACTTTGAACAAAATGAGTATGTTAAAAATAAACCAAAACATAGTGAACCCATTTTTACAGCTTTAAAATGATGAATTTTTTATCAGGTGTAGCTTGAAGATTAAAATTGAAAAAATCCCCGCAGAATAAATTTGTGTGGAGGCTCAGGTGCCATGTGAGAAACACTGCTCTAGTACTGAACTCATGCAGTGGTCTGGTATGAGCCAGCAGACTTTCATACTTATTGGAAGAGACATAGCTAGGTAGAAATAAAACCTGTGATAGCACAAACTAATAAAGAAGAATACCCCAGGCTACAGGAAAGATTTTCCCTGCACTAACATGGAGGACAACTCAATGACCGCTCAGTTCTGTTCTTCTCCACAGACAATGCTGTACTGTAATGTTTTCAAGTCTGACAGATGCAGAAGCAAGCTGCAACCTATTAAAATAAACAGAACATACTGAGTTGGAAAAGACCCACAAGGATCACCAAGTCCAGCTCCTGGCCCTGGACAGGACCATGCCCAAGAATCACACCATGTGCCTGAGAATATTGTCCAAATGCTTTTTGATCTTTGTCAGGCACAGTGCTGTGACCATTTCCCTGGGGAGCCTGTTCCAGTGCCCAACTACCCCCTGGGTGAAGAACTTCTACTGATATCAAACCTAAACCTCCCCTGACACAACTTCAGGCCATTCCTGGGTTCTGTCACTGGTCACCACAGAGATGAGATCAGTGCCTGCCCCTCCTCTTTCCCTCATGAGGAAGTTGTAATTGTAGTGAGGTCTCTTCCCAAGTTTCTTCTTCTCCAGGTTGAAAAAGCCCAATTATCTCAGACACACCTCCTATGGCTTCCCCTCTAAAGCCTTCAGCATCTTTCTGGATGCTGAATCTAAAGCTGAGAGCTTTAGATCTTTATTATACTGGGGTGCCCAAAACTGCCCCCAGCACTGAGGCTGCTCCAGTGCAGAGCAGAGCAGGACAATCCCCTTCTTTGCCCAGCTGATAATGCTGTGTCTGATGTCCCCAGGACAGGGCTGGCCCTTCTAGCTGCCGGGGTACTGCTGGCTCATATTCAACTTTGAATATGAATATCTAAATATCTTAATTTCACTCATGAAATGGAAATGAAAGCAATAAAATTTAGAAAATATTTGTGTCTTGGGTGATCTGATTCAGAGTTGTTTTTTACTACAACCCTTTTTTTTGCTCTATGAAGTGTAAACAGAAAGATGATGATAGTGCCTGTATTCTCTGCATTTATGACAGAAGCTGTAAGGTTAACTTGGTGGATATTTTATATTGATGACTTGCTGTGAATGTTAATCCTTGTGGGTCCTTACAGTACTCAATAGCTTTTTTATTTTTTAAATTGCCTTTGCTGTTCCTTGAAGAAGCCTTAACAGTGAAAAATAGAAGATGTAAACTCTCTGGAAGCCATTTGAACCTGTATGGAAATACTCATTGATATTATGGATGGAAAACATAATTTTGCATATCTGTCTATTCTCTTATCAACACAGCAGAAGGTTGAACACTGGCCTGAACACTGAGTCTCAGGTCAGCTGGATTAATTGGTGCTAATATAATTAGTAAACACTGAGCAAGGTGTCAAGGGAAAATACACACATCTCTTCTTCGCATTCTGGACCAGCAAACTGCTGAGTCCCAACTTTTCCTCACCCCAAGGGGCCTCTGTCACTCACAGCAAGTGTACATCGAAAATGCAGAAAAGCTCAGCAAAGTCAGTCATCAGAATAAGAGATTTCATACTGAACTCACTATTTCAATCTACAATCACAGGTGGTGGTGCCCCTTCTTTCCTGCTGCTGGTGGTTAGGTCTGACTGGATGAAGAATTCATGGATCAATCTGCATTGGACAGCTCTTCCTTCCCTTACAGCATCACTGGAGAGCACTGCTGGAACAAGAGTTCCACAGGCAGATCAAAAGAAGAAATTCTATGAACCTCACTAACTCTAGCTTTGCCCCAGCCGTTGACCTTAGTGCTGACAATTTAAGAAAGGCTGGATAGTCAAGACTCCTACTGTTATCAAGCTTCTATTATCTTTTTTTTTTTCATTTTTTGTTAAGGGCACCAAAGGATCAGTGTGGGAATCCAAAGAATTGAAACAAATTAAATAACTTTGAGCTGAGAATGGTTTACTCGCAGTGCTTTCAGGAATTTTACAATCCATAGAATTTACTGCAGGTGGGCCACATTGGCCAGTGTTGGTTAAGAAATGCCACAAATCCAGAATGGGGTTAGTCCAGCCCACACATCCTATGAACAGATCTTCTGAGGGACTTCAAAATGCTCATGTCTTCCTCATTCCTCTGAAAATCTGGCTACTTAAAATAAACCCATCATACCCCCACCTGCAATTATTTACTCCATATTTCTTTCCTTACCTGACAGACTGCTCATAGTCCTTAGAGTGATCCCAGTGATGGAGCAGACATGCCTGGACAGAGCTGGGATTCATCACTCTTGCAAATTCAGCTGTTTGCATTTGTAGCCTGGGGGTGAGTGCTACAAGGCCTCTGAATGTGTGATTTCCATCAGCTTCATAGGACCCCCTCCACATGAGAAAAGCCTGCAGAACTGCAGGTGTTCTGTTCAGAACAGAACTGCAGGTGTTCTGCTTTGAAAGCCTGAGAGCATGGGGGATAGTTGATTTTCCTAAATCACAGATTATACCTATCCTTTGGGGGAAAAAAAAAAGTCTGTCTTTGCTCAAAATTAAGACTGCTATCGTATTATGAAAACCTCAATAAAAGAAGAAGTAAAAAGAAGTATCATACACCCAGCTGCTTCATTCACCCAAATATTATGCATTCTGTGCAGAGAAAGAAAGAGAACTCCCTCAAAAAAACCTGGACAAAGACTTGTGCACAGGCCACGTCCTACTATATATGTGTGAGGGGACAGAAAGAAGTTTTATGAGCAAATCACCAACTCCACCACCAACTTAAAATTTCATATCCTCTAACTTACATGTGATTGAATTTGCAGCCTTATCACAAGCCTCGTGACGTAGTTGTTAATGTTGAAAATGCACACTTCTGTTGACTGACAATTATGTTGCTATAATACTCAGAAATAGGCTAAGCTTGGCTTGAATCACCTGGCCTAATACGTTTGGGGACCTCTTCTTGAACATATATGGTAAGGGTGTCTAAATCTCTGGTCAGAGAATTACCCTCAGGTCAGAACCATTTCTTTTAGAATGAAATTTTGTGTCTTGTGGCAATGGACATGGAGCTCTCAAATGCAGCCTTTTCTGCCTGTGCAGTGACTTCCACTTCCATGCTGCAGAGATTTAAGACATTTTAACCCTACAGAAATAGTAATGTGCTGGAAGCAAGGAAGCTGCTCTTACCATATGTGGAGAAGCCACACACAATGCCTGAACAGATACTAAACTCTAAGCCTGGGCTTCAGACTGCATCCTGACACTTTAGTGACCTAACACTTCCACTGGAGTATCCACTAACACGTCTGAACAAATATGCTCATATCACTGGCCACATAAATAAATATTTGGCTGGCTTTCTAATTCCCTGATTATTTTTTTTTCAACTCAACATCATAATTCTACTCTGTAAACAATCCCCAAATCCCAAATAAGGGTACGAGGAAAATGTTCCAGCCAACTGATGCAGACACAGCTCCTTTTGAAATTCTCAAGGACTTTATGTTCTCTTTTGGGAATGTATAACTACTCATAAAACTAAACTCTTATAAAAGCAAGATTTTTCTAAATCCAGGTTTGTAAGCATTTCCTGAGAAATAATTTCTGTGCACAGCCAGCAGCTTTTCCAAGCAATTTCATATAGTAAAACAATATACAATATTCAAATAATCCACAATACACCTAAGTGTTTGGATGTAAACACACCATCTAAATATACATTATTAATTACTACTGTGAAAATGACTTCATTGAGCTATCAATGCTTCTGCATTTTCAATGCTGCAGTGGGAATACCTGATTACTGGCTGGCATTTTCTACTAGTGACTTATTTGTTCCAGTTTCACCTAGTGGAGTTGCAGAAACTTAGCTGTTTTTTTTCCCCTAATATTGAAATATCTTTTGAGGTAACAATGATACATTCCCTTTCTAGCACTCCCACCACTGAAAGTGTTAGACCTGGTTGAAGTTCATAAATAATGACACTCACCCCACTTGCTGATCTTGCTGTGTTCTGCTGCTGCTGCCCTGAAACCTGAGGAACACCCATACAGTATCTGGCAGAGCAGGAAGGAATGTCCTGAGCAATGCCTAAGAGTAATATCTCTGCTGATTTGCCAGGACTCCCAGTGCTTCTGGCCATTAATCTTTCTCAGCCGAAAACAGATGGGGCTATTAGGCAGGCTGGAGTAATGGGGGAAACTGGCAAGATGGAGAAGGAAATGCATTATCTTCTGGGTAGAACTGCACATAAAAATGAGAACATTAAAAATGTATTTTTCATATTTAATTGGACGATGTATGATTATACCTACCAGAAAATGATGTGCAATGTGCTTTGTGCAGGGCATTTATAAAACTGTTCAGCTGTGCTAGGGCCTTATTTTCCTCTGTGGAGAGAAACAGCAGCTACGGTTCTGACAAGCTTTTTGTGCTTTTCCCTCTAACACAGGGCTTATTCTGCTGCAACAGCTACTGCAAATAACACTACAAAGTGCCTCTGCTTGTTGCAGTAAAAGAAAAATGCATCTTACGATTTACCAACAAACCACATGAAGCTAACCAGGTAAAAAATCAGAACTTTACGAGTAATGGGAGCATATGTCATATTCAGTCTAACTGAGGTGATGGAACTGCAGGTACAGCTGCTAATTCCTTTATGCTATGACATCCAAGATAATGATTACAAACAGAAAAAAAATAGCAAATTAGGAAGTGGGACCAGATTGTTTACACAGGAAACTAGCAAGGCTGGAAGGAATTACTACAACTAGGACTTGGGGAAAAGCCTGATAGATACTAAGAACTATCCCAGATAAACAGAGACATTTTCTATGCAGGTAAATGGTAGGTGATCCTTAGCGAGAAAGTGATAGGATGGAAACCACAGCTAAACTTTTGAAGGTGTGTGTATGTGTGTGTATTTATCTCTATATATAGATATATCTACATATAGATATATCTATTGTGACAAGAAGTGGAAACATATCAGAAGGGTATAAAGGGTATGATAAGGAAGTGTTTCACCCAAAACTTGCACTTGCAGAGCCTGTTACATCACAGGAAGAAACATGAAAACAAAAATAGGAGGACTAGTGCCAGGCACCAGGTTATTATTTGGCATAATAATTATGTCTGAAAGTGATGGGATGTCAAAAGATGCTGGAAAATACACAATTCTGGCTTTGGGACTTGAAAAGTTTACAATGACTCTTAAATGTCAATGTTTAGTAGTGGAGAGGGAAAAGGGAGACACAGAACAAAATATGTCAAGATAAGAACCCAATTTCTGTAATACTTTATTTCTGATCCCCTAATTAGGAAAAGGTGAGCATTTAGGAAGGTGAAAGAGGAAAATACCCTCAAAACCTAGTAGGGTGACATTAAAGGTAAATTTAAAACCAAAAACCTCTTTTTCTTTTTAAAGAATCAATAGCTCTAAGAAAACCTGAAATCCTCAGATTAAAATAGAAAGGGCTGATAGACAGCCATGGAGTATGGTACCCCTTGGACAAATGGAAGACAAAGACAAGGAAATGTTGATATGACTAAATGGGAAATTTCAGAAGTTATTGAGGCCAAACAGGAAACCTCCAGAGAATGGAAATAAAACTGTGTAAAGATGGAAGAAGGTATGTAACAGTTAAGATGGAGTTTGAGGAAGCTAAGAGGGAATCTGAAGAGCAAACAGTAGGAAGTTAAAACTGAAAATGAACATTTGCTCAGTACACCAAAAGCAGGAAGTGAAGATAACAGGCAGGCCACCCCAAGCAAGTAGAAGAAACAATTAAAGACAATAAGAACATTGCCAAGAATCTAAATGATTTATTTGCATCAGTCTTCACTGAGAGGGTGCTGGAGTGGTATCTAAACGAGAGACTCACACTTTCCAAATATCAAAGATAAGGAGATTGAGGACTCAAGAGAGAAGTTGGTGGAACAAATCAATAAATCAAAGGCATTAAGTTACCAGGTTTATCAGCTACTTCTGGAAGATTTCAGGAGAAAACTGAGAATTAAGTAACAAAGTTCCTAGCAAATACTTACTACAGCAGAGGACTGGAAGACAGCCAGTGTTGTAACTGAATTGGGAATTTTTTTTGTTGTCAGTGGTGGATTTTTTCATGGTGTTGGAGGAGCCCTGGCAGTTACAGACTGATATGTAATCCTAACTTGCCATCAGGTAAATTGTTTGAAATGTGCTAAAAACCCTCAAGACCCCCACCTCTCAAATTATGAAGCACAGAGACAAATATGACATGATAGATACAAGTCAGTACAGTGTCTATAAGGACAAAACAAGGGACTCTTTGCACCTACTACCAATCTCTCAGCTGATTGCACTAGCCAGCACACCTAAGCCTACCCAGGAGGTCCCAAGACTCATTCAACAGGCAAGTAGCAAATCATTACCTCCCTGCTCCCCCATCCTTCACCACTGAGAAGAGAATAATGAGAAGAATACTGATAATGGAACAGCCAAATAACGTACAGGTTATGCTGCTTAGGGCAATCCAGTCTATCCTTGGGAACATTGTTAAGCCAAGGAGAAATGTACATCTGGAAATGAAATTTTTTTTTTATATATGGAACATAATGGTGGCCACACTGAAGCTCTGACTGGAGATTTCATGTAGGTACAATGAATGGTAGCCTTTCTTAGATCAGCTTTTGGGATCTTCCTGCACACTGGCTAATCAACAGCCTCTGTGCAGCAGGGTTCTTCTCAATTCTCAATCAGCACAATGACCTGTGCCTTTAATGGTAATACAGGACTTGGGCAGTTAAGACTATGATGTTTTTAGAAGAATGTATCTTAGCCAGAACTGAGCACTAATATCACTTCTTCTCAGCTCTCTCCAGCTTTTTATGTAAATCTTTGCATAAAGCCATTAAGAACAGAAAAAAAAAGCTCTTTGGAAAATTATTCAGTGATGTATTCTTATGCAGCTAACACTCCCAGGGGAAGAAGTGAAAACTACACACAGCCTCCCGCCCCTTTTTATTTCTTGTCAAAGACATTGCCTTTTTGGGCTTTTCTTATATATACACAGAATGATGAACTGATATTTGTAGTTTAAATGTCTGGTTTAACTGCGTGGTTTCCACCGTAACAGAAATCTCTCACAAATGTCAGGTTAGAAATAAAACCAAGCTCTAGAGGGATGAGGTGGGGAGGAAAGTAGAAGGTCCAGTGGCTGAAAAACAAAATGGAAAAATGTGAGCAGAACACAATATGGATCCGTTTCCCAGCTCAGGCAGTGGTATTGGTACATGTGGTTGTTTGGGGCAGGGAGACAGACACATTGCTCACTGAGTTGTTTCTGCTTTCTCTATTAACATTGCAACAGAAATTACAAATAGCCCTGAAAGGGGTAGTGCACCGTATCTCTTCCTCCCATGTAAACACAACATTAATACTGCAGATAAAGAAAATGGCAAAAAGTCCAGTGTCTTGTTTTCTGCATTTTGCTTGTTAGGTTCCTGTTCGACCTCCAGCAAATTCCTGTGTGTACCGATGTTGTGAACTTGACCAGTCCACGTTCAAGCAAACACTCACTCAGATTCCCAACACATTCTTTTCTCCCCGTCCAATGGGGAGTTTATTCCTAACAGTTCTGCTCCTTTAATTATAAACTCCTTTAACGAAGTAGTTCTGAGACCTTGCAGCAGGCAGCAGGAGAGCACCAAGGCTACTAGTTGCCCTTTTACTCATTTATATTCACTGTTCAGCAGAGAAGTCCACTTAAAGCCTAAGGCCCAGTGCCTTCACGGATGGGCAGCACTGAAATGAGCCTACAAATCAGTATTCCCCAGGCACAATGTGCCTTATAGGTAAAATCCAATTCTTGCCTAAAAAAGATAAAAGGTTAGAGCCAGGCCCTTCATCTTATGAGACACAAGTGAACAAGTTGCTCTGATGAAAACAGACTTTAAAGTGACAAGTTTTGTTCACTTTCTGGCGGAGCTACTGATCTTCTTTACTGGACCACCAAAACTGAAGATGGCAAAGAAACACAAGGGAGATATTTCCTTGGCAAGGAAAGGAGCAGCATTTAGGACTGGGGCCAAGGCAGGGTGGGATATAGGGGATTTTCCTGATAAAAAAATTGATTTGAGAAAAAAAGACCAACCAATATCATGTATACAACTGAACCAGTAACACACCTTCTCAGGAGTGCAGTATTGTATAAGTGTCCCCTGTGTTTTCAAGGCTAATTCAGACCTTTGGCTCATCCTGCATTAACAAGGTCATCCATGTTAACAGGGCCCCTGTGAAAGTTCACAGGTGAAAGTTCCCTTTTAGAGTAGTGCAGATTTGAAATTCACAGGACAGCGACCCGAAGATCTTCCTTTACAGATAAAAAGCATGTCAAATTATTAAATAGCAACATGAAATCCTATATTCTGAAGGTCTGGCTGTGCTCTGCAGTCAAGAGAGCGGAGTGCAATCCCAGCCCCTGCCCAGTCCCCACCTTCGGTGGCTTGGAGGGCGCCCGGCCGGCCCTGCTCGCAGACACCTCACGAACGCTAAAGCCGACAGACCTGGGGCAGTCGGGGAAGGGATGAACGAGCATAGTCTGAAGAGATGTCACTTCAAATTTCTACTGTTAGAACTGCCAAGTATGATATAAAAACAAAAAGTGTTTCTCAGTTAGGAGTTCGAAGCCTAGGCCCCAGACGCTGAGCGGCTCTTGCCTCAGTGTCCCTGCTGGCCAGGCACGGGCTCCACGGTGCTAACTGTTGTTCTCTGCCGTGAGATATTTGAGGGCCGCGAAGCCGTAGTGGCGCGACATGTCCTGCTGGAACTCCTCCTTGAGCGTCTTGAGGCAGATGCGGTATTGCTTGTTGGAGCGGAACTTGGTGATGTCGAAGCTGGGCGCGTGCGGCATGTGGATCATGTAGGCGTTGGGCAGCACCGTGAACTCGTACTCCTGCGGGACAAAGGCACGGCTGTCAGGGGGATCCCAGCCTCCCCCAAGGCACCTCCCCTGCACCTCCATAGCCAAACGTGCTCCATGGCGTAATGGCGCGGTTTGTGTCTCAGCAACAGCAAACCCATCGGGGATCTCAAACAAGCTGCCTTTGTTTTTTCAGGTAGCTTTTTCTTGGTTTTTTGAAAGATCTACTTAATCTTTTTGTAAAATAGAATTTTTTGCGTTGGAAGGCACCTTTAAAGACAATCTAGATCAACCTTCCTGCCATGAGCAGGGACATCTTCAACTAGATCAGGTTGTCAGAGCCCCATCCAACCTGACCTTGCATGTTTCCAGCGATAGGGTGTACACCTTCCCTCTGGATAATCTCCCCCAGTATTTTACTACCCTCATGGTAAAAAAACCCCAACAATTTTAAAAGATTTTATCCCATATAAGCCAAATAATGGGGAAATAGTACAAAAGGCACACCTGAAGCTATGTCTGCCACACAGATTTTTCAGCAGCGTGATTGCAACAACACAGCTGTGACTACATAGCATGAGTCTTAAGCGTTCATTCCAAAACATGGCTTAGCCCCTAAAATTTATTTTGCTTGGGATACTAGAATAAGCTACATTTACAAAGGCAAAACCCCATGACAAATGTTGCTTTGCCTATATGCCAAGATACTTACAGAGACAAAACTGTCCAAAATTATTTATAAGCCTGAAATAAGGGGAGAATATGGTATAATTTAGAGGCAATATGTGAAAATGAACCTGCTAATTCCATATGCTTTGAGACATTTTTACTCAAATTAAATTCTCCCTCACAAAGTTTGAGATACTGTGCTAACTCTCTTTCTCCTGTAAAACTACTTCAATTATTCTCTTAATATCTGACCAAGTTCTTTGACAATTTTTGTTGTTAAAAAAATGATGGCTGATTTAAGTGTCCATTATTCCTCTAAGATTCATTCAATTTTTACAGGTAAATACATGAGGATTAGAGCAAAGCTTGAAAAAGCCTGATTCTTAGACAAGCTGAAAGTTCACTAGTACAGGATATACAACAAGCAGGTATCTTCTGCAAGGAACTGGGTAAGAGATATGAACCTCATTATTCTGTAGCCAAATTAAGTGCCCTAACCACTTTTTTCCTACGCAATTTCAAGGAGTTGTATGGATGCAAATTACAAAGAAACTTTGAAGCCTCCACAGGCAAATTTCCTATTTTCTCACACAGTTTCTATCTGCAGCTGTTGCTGGATTCACTCATTAACCCATTAAAAAAAGAAACTGGCCAGGGAAGGAACAGCCACAGAGCATGCTGGCTTTATAGGAAGTGGTGCACAACTCCCCCTGGTTTGTAATGCCCAGTGACTTGTAGATTTGGGAGTCTGTTGAAAGGCAAAGAGTATCTGCTGCAGAGAGGCAGAGTACTCCAAAATATTTTAGCAGGGAAATAGATTTATGGGAAAAAACACACCTGTGCTGAGAAACCTGAGTGTTTCACCTGTATGTGCTGGACAGCTAAGTGCAGATGCAGCTCCTTCTTCCTGATGAGAATGCCTGTTCCCTGACAGACAGTGCTAAAATGGTAAATCTTTGTGCTAATTTACAATGTTGTCATATACAGGAATGGGGTCCTCTGAACTTCTGTTTAGGGTGAAAAATGTATAGAAAGAGCAAAATAATCTGATGCTCGCAGGCAGAATTTATGTACCTGGAAGATGCTTAGGACTAATGAGGAACCAAATGTGAAACCAAAGGCTGGCACCATGGAGTGAGGAGAGCTGATAAACTACCAACGACAGAAAACAACTCTAAAGGACCTTAAAACTATGGGCTGGAGCTGCAGAGGAAGATGGATGCCCCTCATACAACCTTTTCTTTGTTCTCTGTTTTCATCTCAAGTCTGTAATGCTGCAGGTCAGGGACTGTCTATACTCTGCAGTGCTAACTGTTCAGCACAGCAGCGTTCTCATCCCTCTGAATGGCCTTCAGGCACATAAAGCCTTTCAAAAAACTGTGAGTCTACTGCTAATAATTCCCTTTGAAATAGGCTGGGCTAGGGTTCTGGGAAATGGGACACTCATAGTCTAGTAGCACAGTCACTGGAAAGGTAGGGAAAGGTGTCCTAATGACCTCACCCTACTACATGGAAGCTTCTGTTGAGAAGGTAATGCATTTGCAGGAACCTCTGTCCCTATCTCCTAGCTTACAAATTCTTTAGATGGAAACTAGCATTATCTGTGCATTTGTACAGCATCCAGCTCAGTGGACACCTGCATGCTCCCAGAATAACAATGATGATTATCTCTATGCCATGTCCTGCTCTGAGGGATGGCAGTGGCACAGGCTCTTGGAAAGGATCTGGAACAGACCTCTTGACAGCCACTGCAGTCATGAGGAGCAGCAAAACAACTGAGAAGCTGCTCTGTCTGCTGATAATGAAGCCAGCCAAGCAGCTGGCAGCAACCTGATCTGTGCACACCCAAAGCAGAGGAATGCCACAGGGGAAGTAGCTGTGCCATCCCACGTCTCCTCTAGGCTCATTTGTGGGAGAACATGCCAATATCCAAATTGTTACAGAGGAAAATGAAACTTCTTTTACATGTGATACTGTGCTCAAGGCTGGAAGAGTGAGAAGAACAATTTCCCAGAGTTAATTCCAACCCAATGGTCATTTAAAATAATTGCGCTATGATCAACTTTGAAAACGGTTTCCATTTCCCATGGGTGAATCTCTGTGCTGAGCAGACACCTCTGAACAGAAGAGTTAAATCCTGAATGCTACATAAGAGCTGCCACTGGGAACATAAGCCTTGTTACCCATACTAACAAATAATAAACCATTACACTGGCACTCTCCACAATTGATGGTTAATTAATTAGTGCTTGGAAAGTGCACTGGAAAATTACAGTGCTATAGCAAAGTATTATTAACATTACTATAAGGGAAAATGTTTTTTTCTAGTCTATAATAATTTTTTGTCATATAAGTAGGTACAAATTTGTTGGGAATGCCCTTGGCAAACTGAGGGCAAGTGGCTGCCAGCCCAAGGTGACCATATGGTTTTGTGAGCAGAAGTAGAAAATATCCTTCCCACACAAATACACTGCAGCCCACACCCCAGGGACACAATCTCCCTCTAACTTGCTCCAAGCCTTGAGCTTCTCTGCTTCACATAAACTGGTAGAGCTTGAGCAAAGAAGGATCTGCTGTATTCCAGATTGATAGCAGAAGCTATCACAGAAGGATAAAGATCACCAAACCCTGTTTTTTTTGTTAGCATGAAATGCTACTAGTTCAAACATTGGGATTGAAACCAAACTGAAAAAAACTACAACAAACCCAAACTAAAAAGAAATGCCATGACCCAGACCTTACTGATGAGCACAGTCCTCATCTAAGAACAGCAGGGTGATGCAAATCCTGCCATTTCAGTAAGCAGCAGCACAGGGCTCCCATGGAGCCATAGTCATTGCCAGCCTCTAAGATTTAGGTTGGCAGCAGGGACCCTGGCAAGCTCTGGTGCCAGTCTGGGACTTCTGAGCTTTCTCGGCATCCTTATTATTACAAATTCTGCCCAGCAGCTTCATCCCAAGTCACAGATCCAAGAAGCAGGTAGCCCAAGGCTCAAGTACCTGGATCCTTCAGAGTCAGCACCACAGCCCCAGACTTTGGAAATGTAAACACTGGCTTTGCAGAAATGTGCTGTAAATTCCAGCCAGAAATTAAAGATGCTTGCCTTGAATTCAACTGAAGACTACTTTCTGAATTGCAAATCAGTATTTGGGACTCACAAACCTCAATTTAATGGAAAAAAATCCAGCTAGGTCTACATGTTTCTTAATAAGTGATGGGATTGGCAAAAACTGCTGCAATGCTTTGGTCAGGAGGAGAGCACTACAGGGGTTGAGCCTCTGCAAAACAATGAATTTCTTAGAACTGAAAAATAAATGAACTCAGGCTCAGCTGTTCATTTAATACTCAACAAGCATTAAACAGAGTGTTCCCAACTCAAGAAGCACTCATTAAGGAGCTCAATAAGGCCAGATGAACACTTTGGTGATGCAAAGCGTGACGCCGCCGTCTACAGGACACAGATTTGGTTGTAACAACCTTGCTGCAGAGCCCTGGGTGAGATACTTGTGTGTCATCTCCTCACCTGTGCATCCAGTTCCATGATGTGAGCTACTTTGTTCCAGCCAAATCCCACAAAGCGCCTGTCATACTCTGGGCAGTCCTTCCTCACCACGACGTATGGCTCAAAGTCTGCTTCCCACTCCACACGGTAGGGGGTGGTGGCTGTTCGCCACTTGGCAAAATTTGTTGGCGCGTGCCCTTTCGTCCAGACGTGGTACCTGAGACAGACATAAGCAGCAGGGACATGGGGAGGCAATTAGATAGAAAGCATCTTGGCGAGGCAACACAGTATTACCTGTTAGATGAAATGTTCAAAAATAAGGACATTAGCTTACAGTTCACATCATCATTTTCAGGACGCGTCGGAGGCAATTTCTAGGACTATTTCCAGCACGCCTCCCAGAGCTCAATGCTTAAACACATCTAGTTGGTGAAGGATAGTGTGAAAACAGTACCTCATGCTAATGTGAGAAACCATTACACAGTACCCTGTCAGTTCATCTACACTACAAGTGCTGTGTCTTATTCCTAGCAACCAAGCAGCTGCATCGGTCGGTGCTCTAAAATCGGTGTGGAAATCTGCAGCTCAGATAAAGTTCCTAAAATTAGCTATTTCCCCACCATGGTGACATTCACGATCTGTTTTATAGGCAATTTTATAATTTGCATGAGAGACACCTGCAGCTCTGGATAGATGTTCCATTTTATTAATTACGGTTATTACTACGGCAAGAACCAAGCTGCATAATTACATTAATAAGTAAAATATTACATAAAGGCTTTCTGTTCTAAGTTCTACATTGTGGGGAGTACTCTGTGATCTTCAGTAAGGTAATCAATTTGATTTACAGAAAAAGATCCTTTTGTATTTTGCTAATCTTGTTTAGGTCACAGCAGGTCTTTTCCTAGCACAGCTTGAATGCACCCCATTAGTGCCAGGGTCAATGACTCTCTCGCCCACTTATTCTAACACTTTCCAAAAATCAATGAGACAAGTTCTTTCTGCAGATTCACAGATTAATTAATGAAACAAAGGCATAGCAGGTATCTGTATTACAACAGTGAGATAGATAGGCAACAGAAGGGACAAAACAAATATCCTGCCAATTTGTCAAGTAAGGTACATTGAATTCACAGGGATGACTCACATGCTAAAAGTGAAGGGATTTGAGCATTAAATATTGCAAAGTTACAGCATGACGTAATGTTTAAATCCCAGAAATTCTCATAACATTGTAAGCCATTGCTAAAAACAGGAATATAAAATCACTGCCTAGGAGTTTTCATTTGGGCATATTTGTATGGCTTGTTACAGGAGAATCAGAGGTGTTCAGCTTTGCTGACTCTCTCTTTAGGGCAGGTCAGGAAGACTGAATTATTACCATGGTATTGGGGTCACAGGTAATGTATGGTCCTTTGTATGCTGCATTTCTAAATTGTAAACAGGTTTTACCACTTTCAGATATCTCACTTAGGGACCAGGAAAAAACAAAACCCTTCTGTATTAAAAACCAGTGAAATAATGACAGTGACAGTGAAACAATTCTCCAAAGATTATTAGAAAGCAGTGCCATATTCACAAAGATGCTTATAACTGTTAATGCCCTTTGGAATCATCACCAAAAAACCTCCCCCTTTTCTTGGCCTCTTTTGAAATGAGTGGCTAACCTAGCCAGTCACTAATGTGCAGCTATCTATGCTGGAAATAAAAAAAACCTAAACAACCCAACAGTCATAATGTGGGGTTTAAAATGATATAAGATTGTGGAGGGTGCTGTATCTTCTAAAATCCTACCTCCGGCATTCTGAAATTAATGATGATGATTATAATAATAATAATGACTGCTAAACACTTATGAAGTGATTTGTATCTTCAAAGCCCCATACAAACTTTGGTTAATTGAGAGATTCCTGCAGAGAAGCAGCCAAATGCTGCTGTTATTCTAGAGACACTCTCCCACTGATTTAAACAGGGGGTAACAAGATACTAACCATAAAAATAATTCCATTTCTTTCCACTCATTTTGGAAGTATCAGTGTAAGCACCTACAGTGGCTCAAGTATAACCTCTGTGAGTCAAGAGAGCAAACTACCAGGGCAAAATAAATAATTGGGAAAAGACAATTAAGGGAAAATATGAAATTGGGGTTGCAGAGACAAAAAAAAAAAACCCCAAACAAAAAGCAAAAAACAACAACAAAACAAAAAAGAAAAACAAACCCAGAGAAAAAACAGAAAGGAAGGAGTAGATTTGATTGTACAAAACCAAATAACAAAAACATTTTTTTATTTACCTCTTCAGAGTGATTGATGTGAGTAGAAGGAAAGAGAAAGGCAAAAGGACAGCTAAGGTCCTGACAAAGAGGTAAATGAATATTTAATGCTCAAATGAGGTGTAAACACAATAGTGATGGAGAAGTAATTAGACTGAAAACAGCCAAATTGTGAGAACATTAAAAGAATTGTGAGAGCATTATTGGATTACATATGTATCTGTTCATACAATATATATGGGTTCATACACAGATCTGCTGGAGCTAGGTCTTGGTCAGTGGCTGACTACATGAACTGTACTGCAAAGAAAGAGAAGCAGACACCCTTCCGTGGAGATCCATAGAGAGGAAGCTCCCATTAAAAGATGAGCCATTTCCAACAGACTTTACTATTGGTGATGCAGTTGTGAGAAGAGGTTCGCTGTCTATACTGGTATTCCATCTCACAGGACAAATGAATAAATGTAATTTTCTGCTCAGGCCCTTCTCACTCAAGATTTAAATACACATTGAATTTTAAGGCCACACTCAATCTGACAATTCCTGAAGAACATTATGAAAATTGGGAACAATGTGTTTTTCACTATCCTTGACATAGCGCTCATCTCCCTAAAATCATGATAAGTTTCTTTCTCACAGTTCATGGAAAACAACTGGAATATATCATATTCCCTCTTGCTCCACTTTGGATCCAATGCTTTATTTTACTTGTGTTCCTGACTGCTTTTATTTAAAATAAAATTTCAGAACTATACTAAGCTTTGCTAAAGTTAGCAAAATGAAGCAGTTATTCTTCTCAGAGTGGTCTTCCTCCCTTCCTTCTCTAAGTTTCCCATTTTAGTGAGAAAGATGAGTGAAAGAAGAACTTTCCCACTTCTGTTCTTAGATGCTTCAACATTTCGCTGGATTGTGGATGCAATCAGTTAACTAGTTAATCAGGTGTTGTTTTTTATGTTTTCTCCCTACAATGATGTGTCTCCTGCCAGCTGTGGTTTCCCCTGTGCCTGGATGTGTGTGGGGAGTACATTTGTGCCCATCAGCTCTTACCCAGGCCCTGAGCAGGCACATCCTTGGGAGCCAGGCACAGAGCCCCCGCTGTGGCACAGGGTTTCACACAGCACACCTTGCCAGCCACAGATGCTCACTTGTCTTCTCTTTTCTTCTGCTGGTGACTGAGGGATGTAATTGAGAGCCGTTGTGTACTTCTTAGCTGCCCAGAGGTAGAAAAGGTCACCATTTCAAAAAGAGGTGACAAAAGCAATTTCAGTGAGGGAAAGATTGTAATCTACCGTGTGGTGTGAGGGACTGGGATGCTGCAGGCACTCTCAGCAATCACTGTCACGCCAGTTCTCCCCAGCTCACTCCCACCAGCTCAGCGTCAAATTGCAGCATTATTAAAGCACCTTGAAGGTGGAGGTGGAAATTCTCAGCCCTGAGCTGAGAGCCCAGATGCTCTGTGGCTGTCTACAGATTTGAGCAATGAAATGAGCCAAAACAAACTGAGGAAGCATTTGTAAAATGTATCCTACATTAATATGTACACCAGCTGCAGACTGTATGTCCTTCAAGTCTTACTTAACCTTGCTTTGGAAAAACTCCCACTGGTGTTAAAGACATTTTTGCCTGAGTGAGACTCGAAAAAGGATTTGCAGATCTGGCTGTGTATGAAACACACCAACATGCTGTTTAGCTTGAAGATGAAATCTGTAGTGGAAGGCTACCACTGTGCAGCTGACTGCTGGTGGAATGCAACATGTGAAAATCCCGAGGGTGTTATTTTCCACTGGAAAGACTTTTTCTCTCAACTACTGGAGAGGAAACTATTTTTTATCAGATCTCTTGTTAATTTTTATGTCTTTTGTATGTTAAAGAATGATGACAGAGGGAAAAGCACTTACTTTATCAGTATCCTTAAGTAACTTTCCAGAGGCATGCCTCTCTCAGTCACCTCAAATTTCTGTTTTAAGGCAGTCACTGGTAGAATTCTGACACTGATCAGAATTATGTTTTCCAGACTCACATTGTCTGACTCAGGCTGTCTGCTATGATATGTACATGCAACCATATGAGGGAAGGGTGGCTACTGCAATGAGAGAGGTGTGTAATATAGGGAAAAGTGCGACGAAAGCTCTAAAGTAAGAGAAGAATGAGAGAGGTATGATCATGGAGCTCCTCCAACCATGGATAATTCCTAACTTTTTCATAGATTTTACCTCTAGATCTCAAAATACTGCAAAAAGGAGAGGTGAACATTGTTACCTGCATTTCAGAGACAGGGAACAGAGATGTAAGGAAGAAAAGTGATTCGTGTAGCACCTCTCGGCAGGGGAGCAGTGGAGCTGAGAAGAGAACCGAGTCTCCTAAGCCCCCTCTGTGCAACATCATAAGGCCACATTGTACTCTTCCCATAGCTGAGATGCTTTACAAATGTCTGCTAATCAGACCTTACCACACACACCCAAGAGATGGTTAACCCCTGGTAGTTGCATTTTAAAACTGAAGAGTCTGACAGGTAATAGAAGTGACTTGTTCACAGCCACAAAAGAAGTCTGCTTCAGAGAGGAACTCCAAATTTAGGTGTTCTTTGCTTCTTAGCCTCTAGTCAGAGTACTCTCTTACCTCTGCACGGAGGAACTCTAGGTATTTAAGCAGCTGTTTCACACTTTAAAAGGGCATAAGACAAGCCTGTGTTTGTTTTTCCAGTAAGGACGAGAACCAGTGGACAGAGATACATTACTTTTGGTCACATGAGAAGACACATCTACCCAGATAGTATTTGGCAGCCAAAAAGTAAATTACATGCACTTGAGTGTAATCGTCACGCTTGATTTTGTAGCACAGTAAAAAATGATGAAAATAAAACAAATTCGATTTAACAACTGAAGTCCTTCAGTAGAGGACTGCAATATGAGATAAAATGCTGAGCTTACAGACAGAATATATCCACATGATTCTGTTCACTGCCTCTCTACGAAAAGGGAAAAGAATTCCGATAAGTTTCTTAATGCAGCTGACAGTGAAAGAGAAGAACCAAATACTCAGAAGAACATAAAAACCAGAGATAATGACCACAGGTTGAAGAGCACTTTCCATTACCTGAATGTAAAGAGGGTTCCCATGTCCAACATAGATAACAGGTCTGCTTTTGACTTGGGGAAGGAGAGGCGGTAGCGCAGGGTCTCAAAGGCAGGAACAATCAGAGCTTTCTTGGTGTTAGCTAGGTCTAGTTGGATGACAGACTTCCTGGCAAATGAGAAACAATAAATAAAAGCAGGAAAATTTTCAACTGAGCAAATCACTGAGCTTTTCAAAATAAAGTGCAAAAAATGGGCAGTTAGGATACTATAAATGTAACTATGGCCCATATCTTTTCCTACAGGTGCTTCAATTTTTTCTTCTCCTTTTGGTCTGCTGCTCTAAGAGCAGAGAGAGCAGCACAACTACAAATGAGCTTGTGTATTTGACTGATCAATGCTGATCAGACTGTTGGCAGCAGAGAAGTGCTCTACACTTGAATGGACTGGGATGCCTCTTTTTCCTCCTTTTTGCTGCAAGTTGTTCAGTGCAGAGACTGTTTTGGTGTGTGAGTGTGTGTGCACATATGCATTTCACACAGGACTCTTTTCCAGGCAGGGGCCTTGGGATGACTGCTGCAGCAGAGGAGCAGCTTAGCAATCTCTCATCCTGCCTGACAGAGATGTTCAGCCTATTCTTTCCTAACAAACTAAAATTCAAAGAAAAAGAAGTTATTTTTCCATCCCCCAACTGAATCTTACCATACCTGTCATTAAAAATAACTCTGTCTCAATTTTTTAATTCATTATCTCCATAATTCATAGCAGAAATATGCCTCTTTCTCCCTGTCAAAGTCAGTTCCCCTTAACAGAATTCACTGTCCTGACTTTTATGTTACTACAACAAGCAATCAAGGAGAATGTTGACAAGCAGCAAACCCTCTACAGCCTTTTAAGTTGAAGGAATTGGGATCACTGTCCTAATAACAGAAGAACCAAACAAACAATTTTTCTAAGCCCAGAATACCTAGAATTCATTTATACTGCTGTGACAGAAAAAGGCGATGAGCACAACTACTTCATAAAATCTGAATTTTAGGGAATTCATATCACCCTATAGGCCTGTTCTATATTAAGCAATATGTTCTCAGCTCCTTACTGCAAAGTTTGCATTGTTTAAAGAGCCCCTGACACATTCCAGTTAACTTTTCACAACTGAAGGGTTTTAACAGCATCTTATCAAAAATGGTTTTGTACCATTGGCCAAGATATCTGCATGTTAATAGCAGACTCCTTCACCATCAGCATTTGTGACCTTCCAAAGTTGTTGAGCAGCACCAGTATACAGTTTTTATGATGTTTAAAAATGTTTCTTCCTTTTCTCCCCATCTGAGAGCATGGGATACTAATATAGTTTCTCTTCCAAAATCTGAGTCTTTCTGGTCTCTGTGCAATCTATCAGCCTTGAGCAGTATAGCTTTGGGGATTCAGTTCTAGGAAGGAGTAGGTAACATTTGTAGTGATGCTCATCCTTTGGGCTCTGCAAGGAAACAACAGCTTTTATGGCTGCTACTATAACTTTGTTTTATGGAGAGCTCAAAAGGCCCAGGCAAAATTTCAGGCCTTGCTGTGCTTGGCACTGTCCAAGAGTAGGAAACAATCCTGCCCACCAAAGTTTACAGTCTGAAGCTGACCAAAGCTGCAGCAGGCACAGGTATCAAGCACAAATAACAGCAGAAACTGCCAGACAGAGCAACTTGTGTTGAATCTAGTGCTGAATGTGACTTAGTCTCTAATATATGGGATACAACCACAAAAATGCTGTCGATACCAGTGATCCTTTCTGCACACTCCCTGCTGCTCCTGTCACCTGCAAATTTCATACAGTTGTCAATGCCTGAACTCTAAGAAAGAATAAATGATAGCACCTTCATGAAGAAATCAAAAAGCAGAGGGAACAAACTGAGAGAACAGCCTGAAATCACTTGCACTGACAGAGGTCAACACGAAGAGTGAGGTACGCAAATTGAAACAGAGGTCTGGAAACAAGACACTTGAGGTGCACTCAGGCAAACACAAAGATGTGGAGATACTTCCAGTGAAATAAAATAGCAGGACATTCTCTGCAGAAATATTTTCAAGAGATATGCGAGCATCTGAGGTGCATGTTGATATGACAGGTTGACCTTGGCTGGACACCAAGTGCCCACCAAGCTGCTCTCAGCCCCCCATCTCTGCTGGGAACGGGAGAGAAAATAAGATGGAAAACAAGTTGTATGTTGAGATAAGGCCATTTACTAAAGCAAAACCAAAAGGTTGAGTATGCACCAACAAAGAGAAAAATAGAAGATTTTATTTTCTCCTTCCCATCAATGATGCCTGGCCACTTCCTGGGAAGCAGGGCCTCATCACACATAGTGGTTGCTCCAGAAGGCAAACATTCTAAATAACGAATGCCCTACCTTCCTCCTCCTTTTCTCAGCTTTTATATCTATCTGAGCTGACATCATTTGGCATGGATTCTTCCCGTTCAATTTGGCTCAGCTGTATTAGTTGTGTCCCCTCCCAAGATCTTGCCCACTCCCAGATGGAGGGCACAATGATGGAGAGGCAGCACTGATGCTGTGCCAGCACTGCTCAGCTGTAGCCAAAACACTGCTGTGTCATCCACACCTTTCCAGCTACCAAGGCAAAGCGCAGCACTGTGAGGGATGCTATGGGAGAAGACCTCCAGCTCAGCCACAACCAATATGGGTGGTCAGGTCAAAGTGGAGGGCTCTCCAAAACAGAGCTGGGAGTTGAGACACACTCAGACAAGAAGCCCAGCAGCACTGATCTCTGAGTAGAATTACCAGCCCTTGAGGTGGACTCAGTAACATAAAAGATGGATGCAAAGGGAAGAAGAAATCAATGCTAACATTCAGATGTTAAACTTGAGAGACAAAGGACAACAGAGGCCATTTAAACTGTGATAGTGGCAGTGAGAACGAGGACTTTAGAGAAAAAAAACAACTTCCGTTTTTTTCTCATAACTTGGCTGGTGGTCTGCTCCTTGGACAACCGGCTGAAATTCTAACTCCTTCCCACTAGAAACAAATCAACCTTTTCATTTTTCTGTAGGATGACTTTTCCTCCTGCTTTGAGTGGAGGTGCTATTTGTTGGGTGACTGGTTCTGTTACACTTTGGGAATAGGAAAATTTTGTTGGTGCTGCCAGATATGTGGAATATAATGTAAGGAATACATTTGCTTATTTTGCAAGCTAGCACTGGGTAAACTAGGTAATTCTTGCACTACCCTGATGAGGGCTGTTTTTTTTTTCTTTTGGATTCAGTAGTATTGATCCAGTATCTACTTTCCTTTCTTGTCCTTTTCCCCCAAACCTCAAAATAAGGATTTATGACTATGAAGAACTAGCTCACTTTGTGCTGGTGTTGTCCAGGAAACCATTTCCCAGCTATCTTTGTGTTCAGACCTTATGTGTGTCATTCTGACACAGTGAAGGTTGGGTTAAATTTTAAATCTAATCAACCATATTTTTCACAAAGCAGTGAAGAAATTAGTCTTAAATCACAAGGGTCTCCTCACAGGTTGAATTAACTCCAGCATGTTGATATCAATCTTCTAACCTGCATAGTTCTTTTCAAAAATTAACATAGAATTCTCATCCTCATATAAGTAGATAGTAAGATCATTCCCATTTTTGGAGGATAGAGAAGCTCAGATATAGAAAAGCTAGAAACCTAATCCTAAAGCACTACACTCAGAAAAAAAAAGGGGAAAAAAAGAGTCCATTAACTCAAATGTGCTTCCACCATCAGGATTTGGTAAGTGGTTGGTTGCAAGTTACAGATATGGCAGTCACTGAGCTTGTGGTCAGAACTGGAGAGCTGTCAACTCACTGGTATATTCATTAGAATGCTCTTCCTCTCTGCAAAAGCAATGAATTCATAGACTACAAAGGCAACCAACACAAAAACCCCAACTGAATTATCTCCCTAGCTGAGATGCTGAAAAATAAGCAGAAATACTTCACAACTCATGATATAAGAGACAGGTATAAAACCAGTGGACAGAGTTGGGATGCTGGGTCCCAATTCATGCTAAATGTGTCACTGGAAGCCAAGGGCACATTTTACACAAATGTGTCAGGAAGGAACTTCAGTGCTAGCTGTGAAACTGCAGATAAGCAGCCTGTCTCACTGTTTTGTGTTAGAAGTCATGTAGGATGACCCAAACACCTTACTTGCAGCAACCAGAAGAAGCCTTTACCTCTGAGGCTCTGACAAGATGACCTCAGTAACTATTGTAAACAGGAAATCTTTAAATGATACATTTCCTTTTGTACTGCACAGAAGACTAAAGCAGGACTAAAAGGGTGTTTGATGGAGATAAAACACTGAAATGGTTTTACTTAGCAGCTATGAAAAAGCTCAATTAGCACAAATCTAAGTGCAAAGCAACAGATAAATAATGGGATAGGTAACCACCACCTCCATCAGCTTCTCCTTCAAAACTGGTTGTAGCCTTTTTTATAGGACACCTTCAAAATACATTGAAAATATTTTTGAAAATTCCTTTCTTTCTGAGAATATATTATCAGCAGAGACATAATATGCAATATATGTAAATCAGCAAACTTTCTGTGAGAAGGGCTTGCCTGGCTTATCCTGTACAAGGTGATGTTCAAAATACCACACTATTTCCATTTGTTTATGGTTGTTCTAGCTGAGGAAATGAGGATAAAAATGTTTTACGTCTCTCTAACAAACAATTGCTGCCATTCAGACAGACAGCACTAATCAGCTATTTGCAGAGGCAGTGGGAACAGTCAATGCAGAAAGACACAGGGTATCCACATTTAAAATAATCTCAATGCAACTCCCTGCTACTTTGCTTAGAAAAATCATTACTGCAAAAGCTACAAAAGCATCTAGCCCACATGCAAACAAAAAAAAAAAAAAAAAATCCAATCACTTTTTAAAGAGCTGGTAGTAGCAGATTAGCAACTTCAATATTCCCAGGCAAGAGAGACTCTCAGCCGGAGTTAAGGTGGTACAGGCCTTAAAAAAGGCTGGCAGGGTAACACAAAGTCTCAGAGGCAGCAGCTGTCAGGGAGCATTTCTGTTTTTTTCTGAAACATCACCAATGCACCATCATGGTGCATTTAGTTCTGTAATACAATATCACCTTATGAGAATTATTTCTGTGGATGTAATATCTCAAGGAAATGGTGACACTTCATTCTGTCTTCTCTCCTCTCTTCTTCCTTTCATTGCTGGCTCCCATCCGTGCGCTGTGAAGCAGCATGAGAGAGCAAGTTCCTTTTCTAGCACTAAATGCCAGTATCAACAGCTGCCATCCTTACTGTGTCCAGCATTGATCTGAAAAAATGTACCAGTATGTAACAGTAACTGAAGAACAGAGAAATGAAGAATACCTCTTCATCCATGTATCTGGAGATAGCTAATGCGTGCAAGGAACAGAATAATTTGGAGTGCTCCTAGCACTCCAAGACATGAAAAGTCTTCAACAAAATAAGAGGGAAACAAGCTGACACAGTGTGATAATACTTCAACTAAAATTCAGCATCTTGAAAGCCATAGTTTGGGCTGGAAGGCACCTCTAAAGGTCATCTAGCCTTTTTTTTTATTTTTTTTTTATTTTTTGAAAGATCTGCTTTCTCTTTTTGTAAAATCATAGAATTTTTTGCGTTGGAAGGCACCTTTAAAGACAATCTAGCCCAACCTCCCTGCAGTGAGGAGGCACATCTAGATCAGTTTGCTCAGAGCCCCATCCAACCTGACCTTGAATATTTGAAGGCATGGGGTACCCACCACCTGTCTGGGCAACCTGTACCAGTGTTTTGCCATCCTCATTGCAAAAAACTCACTCCTCGCATCTCATCTAAATTTCCTCTCTTTCAGTTTAAAACCACTCCTCCTTGTCCTATCTCAACAGGTTCTGCTAAAAAAGATTGTTCCCATCCTTCTTATTAAGATCCCTTTAGGTACCACTCCTCGCATCTCATCTAAATTTCCTCTCTTTCAGTTTAAAACCACTCCTCCTTGTCCTGTCTCAACAGGTTCTGCTAAAAAAGATTGTCCCCATACTTATTAAGATCCCTTTAGGTACTGGAAGGCCATTATAAGGTCTCCCAGCCGTCTTCACTTCTCCAGGCTGAACAACCTTAACTCTCTGATCCCCTCCTCATAGATGAGCTACTCCACCCCTCTGAATAGTGAGTTTGGCCCTGTACATGTCTCACAGAGTTAAGCCTGAAAGAAAGAAACTCCTACATAAGTTCATGATACCAGAAAGACTATTTTCCTTTACACTCCAACGCCCCAGGCTTATGAACTGACAGGGAACACCTACAGGCAAGCCCTCACTGGAACATTTTGATCAACTTTTACCAAATTAGAATAGATATGAAGAGCAAAACTGGTCAGAATAAAGGAACTGACATCCTCCTGTCTGGCCACAGGGTGTCCTCCTTGCTCTATGCTTTGGCCTCAGATGACCAGCCTCTGCAGGGGAAAAAGGTCTTAATTAAAAAAAAAATCTCAGTTAATGGATCAGAAGTCTGGAGTTTGCTCAGCCCAGCCTGCTCACATGCAGAATGATACAATATACACTGATGCTACTCCTCCCAGTTTCCTTATGACAATTACTTTGCCTTGATAGGTGCTGGCATTGCAGTCATATTTTTGAGCTGGTCAGACTCATCACCCTCTTATCAAGATAACAACTGAATCAAGAGTGTGTCACATGGACAACAATTTCAGTAATGCTCTGCATGTTTTTTCTGTCACTGGCATTAAGAACCAGAGATGTTTAGAGAAACTGCCTCTTTTACATCTCTGCTAATAAACGATGCTCTTGGACACTTAATAATACTTAACCCAGTTCAATTTTCAAATTGGTTCTTCTGCAGCCCTGAGGAGATTATTCTAATGGCTAACAAGGCTCACATTCAGACCTGGATTTTTTCTTTCATAGCCATTTTTCTTTACTTTCCAGTTACAGTCCCTTCTTCTGCTCTAAAAATTCTTATGCCTTAATGGGCATTGTTACACCTCAGATATTTAAAAGATGCCATTTCCAGATCTGCTCAAACTGATTTGTTTTGGGAATATGTGAGAAGGGTGGGGAGTGGAGAGGGTGAAATCGTGGGTGACAGTGGGAATTCCCTCACTGTCCACTACCTGAGGTACTCGTAGAGTCCATACATGGGCAGGAAGTCGATGTCGGACAGAAACATGTATGGTGTGCTGATGTGCTTCATGGCCACGTTCCTGAGCAGGTTCACAGGGTAGAACTGCCCCTCTTTGTACACGATGTGGTAGCCAACGTTGTGGCGGCTCATCAGGACTTCCGAGCCCTGAGCGTAGCGCAGGAATTGCTGGGCTTCTGCATCAGAAAGGTAGAGTGCCAGGCTGATGGGACCTTCCCAGTGCTTGCAGATGGCTTCAAGCATCTGGAGCCTGGAAGAGGAAGGGTGAGAGTAAGAAAAAGCTATTTCCCTGTCTGGGACTCTGTGCCCGTGTTCACCTGATCAAATGCAGATATCTTTCTCTAAGTGAGACAGACTAGGGACAATTTATATGCTGTGGAAAGCAGTAAGTATTTCTACAGTGGAATTCATTATTTAAGATGATAAGTCAAGGTCTTGTCCTGGACAGATGGACTGCACACCGGATACACCAATCTCACTAAATCCAATATAGCCCAAGATGGCCCTAGATACCTAAAGCACCATCATTTTCTGTCTAAAGCTTTGATGCCGCAGGAAAACCCACATGGATAACAGGACTTATCTGGTAGGAGCTTTGAGCAATTGCAAGGATCTGTTCACATGGATCTACTTACAGGATAGGGGCTTACAAACTTCAACACTGTCTAGTGCCCAATTCACATTTCAGGTCAAGCTATTCCCACACAGTAACACACTACAGTGCTCTTCAACAAGCTTGTGGAGGACAGAGATGTACAGACCCACAGATCATTTTGCCTCCTGTCAGGAAAACCTTACCCAAATTTTTGCAAGGCAGTTAGTCAGGTCTTAAAGGCTGTTAAAAGAGACAGGTCAGTGAGATACTGACTTAGGTGAAAATGTGCAATAACTAGAAGACGACTCACTGTCAGGGGAAAGGACAAAAGGGATGACACATCGACAGAAATGGGATTTACTATTAGTAGGTAGTAAGGAGAGGAGGAATGACATTGCTGTGGAATATCAAAATAACATTTCAGACATAACCCTCATTAAAAGTACTAACATGTGTATGTTCAGCACTATCTCAAATTTCATTAAATCATTTCTTAAACAGGTTGTATTGATGTATATTTTTCTAAAAAATTCCAGCAGTTACAATACTATTAATGAAAATGACAAGGAAAGGTTTCAGACGCAAACGTAAATCAAACCCAAGTTAGTTAAAATAATTTAAACACTTTGGAAAATTTATTGCCTAGAGATTGAGATGTGTCACCCAAAAATACAGCAAGGACTGATTACAAAGCCTCTTGATTTAATATGAAGGGAAATGACCTATGCAGCCTAGCCAGATATTCTATTAAAAACTGGGAAGAGTAGATGATGCAAAATTATTATCTTCATTCCATTCCAAATCCACGTTACTGAATTTTTCCTATTAATATTTATACAAAATGCAAGAGAAGTTTTCTGCATTATCATAATCTGAGAAAATATTTTCCCCCTCCTACTACCTCCCTAAGATTTGCAAAACATAAGAATGATATACTCATACCAGTAAATGCACAGTCTGACTTCTGAATGATTGTGATGATATCAAGACGATATAATATTTTTTCTTAGAGATGAGATATTACCTTACTAGTCTACACTTGGTACATAATTTCCTTTTTATCTGTTATTGAAACAAAGGCTATTATCAACCTGAAATATACAACTGAATTTGAAACAAAAAACAATATAAAAATATCTAAAAGGTATATAAAGGGTCTAGAATTTTGTTTACAAAAATAATAAATGTGGGAAAAATACATTTTTTGCCTCTTTCCAACATAATACAGATCTGCTAATCAGGAGATTCCAATCTGTATTTGAATCTCCTGATTAGCAGCACCTAAATTTAGGGCAATGGAAAACTTGCCTAGTAAAAAATGCAGCAAAATGCCTTCTAAGGACTCCATGCAGTGGACTAATGGCATATATTACTTATTTAAACAGCACACTTGATAATGCAAACCTTTTCATGATACTGAAGTGGAAACTGCATTTTGGTGGTACAAGTTCCCAGCTGGACACCTTAGTACCCTTCAGAATACTCCATTTTACTGTGTTGTTCTCATTGACAGGCTTAACTTTCATAAATATGATACAGGGACTGCTAGGTGATCCTCCATAATCTGCTCTCTATAAGTTGATACATCTCTTTTGACTACAAAACTCAGAATTATGAGCTTCTAAGCACGACATGACCAACTTATTTTGTGGTTTTTTAGTCGTCTTGAGGAATGTGTTCTCTTAAGGACTCTAGAGAAAACAAATGTACTGCTGTACTGCATAATAATGAGATCATAATTTAGTTGGTAAATTTTTAAAGGTCTGTTCTGTAAGTGAATTTCGCTGGAATTCAATTGTTTTGTGAGATTCTTTATTTTTATTTTTCTTCTTAAGAATACTCAACTGATTTCCCACTCATTCTCAGATTCTCAGATTTCAAGCAGCGTATTGTTAATCATGTCTTTCCTTTTACCCATTCTGACCTCACATTTTTAAACTCCTACACTGATTTCTGAACGCCAGGTACATACTGAGTCTTTAAAAAAAGCCTGCCTAGCCAAAACACATGCATGAAAATCACACTGAAGCAACCAGGCCATTATTCAAGGAAACGTCACACCACTGCAAAAGATGACAATTACACAATAATGAACAACCCTGAGTGAAGTCTGTCTCAAAGCTTCCTCCTAAAGACAATAATGTCAGCTTGCAAAATGCATCCCTCTCTTCCATTCCTAAAGACTATAGGACAAGCAAACCTAAATCTGTCATGACAGTCACGTCAATCTCACCTCCAAAAGGACAAGGGGAAGTGCTGGGAGTTGTTTTTTTGCTTTTCCTCATCTCCAATAATAATTTCAAAGAATAATTCAGGAATGTAGTATACAGCACGTTGTTTATGTCCATGTCACCTTACATCTGAGACACTATTCTTAAATGCCTACAGCTGTGCTAGAGGAGTTTAATAAAAGTGGTTTAAAGAAGATGGAAAAAGATAAGGCAGTAACTGAAAGATGTGAAAGAAAACAAAGCAGCTAAGGAGTTCTTTGGTAGGTTATTATTTATTGATTTTAGCTGAAAGAAAGTATTTCCAACTCTAATCAATAATTTATAGCAACACACCAGTGAAGTAGGGAACATTTTTCCTGCACAGAATCAGGACAGCTGTTCTTCCTGAATAAAAATGTGTGGTTCTGTCTATCAATAAAAACATGTGCCCCAGTGAGGATCCAGAAAGGGAAACAGATGCTCAGACTTTGCATCAGTGCCAGTGAATCAGCACTGAGCCCCAGTTCATTCTTTTTAATTAAATTCTGGGGGGAAAAATATACCATGTGCACACACTGGCTTTAGTAATTTACTGTGGCACTCACTCAGGGTCTGGCTCAATTTATTTCTTTATTTTTTTACTCAAAGGTTTGTGAACACTTAAGAAATGTTTCCTCAATTAAAAATCAATAGAACAGACACTGATGTACAGAGCACATCATAACACAATGTGCAGTTCTGAGGCACCAGTGGAACAGAATACCCCTTATTCATTTTTGTTTATTTTAAAGACAGGCTGTAAATGTTTTGTTGATCTCAATTTCTTGTAACCCTCCTAGAAACTGCTGACCTTCTAGTGTAGCAGTGGTGTTATTCAGATGCCATGTTATATTCTGTACGTGCTATGCTGAAGCATATATAACAATATCCATATATAACAATTTGCATATATAACATATATAACAATATGCATATATAACGGTATAACATATATGACAATTCCTTCAGCATATATAACAATATGCTGAAGGAAATGATGAGTTTCTGGATAATACTCAAGGAGTTCTGATTTGTTTTGTAATCCACTCTGATAGCAATACCTACAAAATTTGGACTAGATTTGAACTGAGAAGCTGGAGAAAGAAAAAAAAAAAAGAGAGCTGACAATTACAAAATTTCACAAAGCTGGCTGATCCAGACTGCACTTTCAAGCTTCTGAAAAATTTCAGCTAATTTCAATGGTGGGCATCAGAAAGGTACATGTGGAACTTGTCACAAAATGGATTTTTTCCCCCAAATTAAATGCCAGTTAAATTCAACTTCATCTAAGAACTAAAAGCTCAAATGTTCTTCTGAGAATCAACATTTGGATAAAGATGCAATGATTCTGCTCAGACAGTGATTTTTTATTTTACACTAGCACAGAAAAAAAAAAAAAAGTATAATTTTCAACTTCCTAATTTGAAACTAGAATGTTTACTTCTGATTCTTACTGTAAGAAAAATCACTAATTGAAATTTTCTGCAAGGAAAGTGCCAATGAAAGCAAAACTAACATCCTCTAGTGCAGAAAAACACATGCAAAAACTTGGGTCAGTTACAACTGCTTGCCTAATTCTATTACAAACATCTGGGTTTTTTTCTGAGTTGCTGCAAAACTTCATGGACTAATAATGCCTGAAAATCCCAACAAGCAACAGCTTTCTCAGCTCCAGGAGTCACCCTCTCATGAACTCTACTCATGTAGAGTGTAGCACAGTGTGTGCACTGCACAGACAACATCTAGATTTCTACGGACATGCATTTCTCCTCTCTCCAAAGCACTCCACAGTCACATTTCTCTGTAACAAAAAGCTGTCTCACGCTCCCAGATGAACAAGAGGTGCTCCCTACCTGTCCATTGACAGTTGTGCCACCAGTGTCACGTCGGTGTTGTCTGAAGCAGGCTCATACTCGTAATGGAGGAAATACAGATGAGTGCGATGGACGGTGAAGCGTTCCCGACGGAATTCATAGCACAGGTCATCCTCGTCCAGCTCAGACAGCTGCTTCTGGAGCTGCAAGGAAAGAGTGGAAGTAAACATAATTTCCTTGTAATTATTTTAGCAAATCAGAGAGAACCAGGAGGCTGGGAAATTACAGAATGATGCCATGAAGAATGGAACATACAGAGTAGCAGGGTTTTCCTGATCCTCTTGTTACTGCACAAGAAATTAGAAGGAAGGGCTTGCAAGTAAATTCATAACACACACAGGACGCTCTGTTATGGTCTATATATTCTCTGTATTACATGTATTACATACTTTCAAGATCCAGACTAGCAATGAAACAGTGACCAACCACAGGCTGAATAATCATCAAGTTCAACAGTTAATGTTCCAGTGTGTTGCATAATTTCATCCTTTCTAGAAGCAGTGTTTTACACTAGTCACAGACATTCTCCACTAGCCAACCCTCAGCAGCAGATTCAGCACTGAGAGTTTCCCAGTCTGCTGCCTCTACTGGAGAACAATAACTGCTGCTACCAGCACGGACAGAGAGCTGGGAATGTAGCATCTTTAACTGATCATTACTCCTCCTCTTGAGATTTATGCTCTTTCCACTGCAGAGGTGCCAGAAGTAAGCCTTTAAATGGGATTTATGCTTCTAGATACCTAGTTTGAGAAATCTGGAGGATGGTAGATAACTTCCTGGCTCCCTTGGAAACCAAGCCTCTTCAAAGTCAAAATGGGCATCTCAAAGCAATCTAATCCCATGTCTCTTAGACGTGTAGCTTTAAGAGAAAAAACTTTAGCTCTGGGGAAAGGTAGAAGTGAAAAACTGACCAAATGTCTATGCAGATGACCAATTACATTCCTAAACTAATTATTTTTGGGGTTGCACTAGATGATCATTGAAAGGTCCCTTCCAAATCAAACTATTCTATGATTATATGATTCTGTGATTTTAAAGCCAAACATCTAGCTAGGATATTGAAAATGCATTAATTTTAAAGGAAAAAACCAGTCACACCTGCAATAAAATGTTATGAAGATAAAAATTTTTATGGTTTTAACATGTGAAATTGAGTTCAGTATCTATTGCTCTAAAATGTAGGTTACAAATAAAGTATCATTTTTTGTATCTGATTTCTTAAAAGCATCCTGTAAGAACAATAGCCAATTAATAAAACATTAATCAGCAAATGAGAAAAATGCCCATTATATAGGAATTTAGATTATTGAATTATAGACATCTTTTTGTCCTGGTCAGAATGATTAAAGTAATAGTTTAACAATCTTCAAGAAAAAAGAAAAAAGAAAATGTAGGTATTTTTTGTTCTGTGTTAAGAAGAGCTGATGTTCTTGGAACTATAAGCATAATGGTTGCCATCCACAGCAATGCTTACAACTGACTGTTTTCCTGTGAAGGCTGATGGAATAATTCCTGATATTTTCCTGTACATCACTCTATAATCTTCTTCTGAATAATGGAAATACCTACTTTGATTTCAATGAGTTTTGGATCAGGCTGTCATTCTTCCCTGCTATTGTTCTGCACAGATCTTAAAACACCCCTCAAGAGGGACTGCTATTAGAAAGATGAGAGTCTGAATCTTCACAAATCTTTACTCAGGCAAAACTTCTATTGATATCAAGATCTCTTTTAGGTGGAATAGAAATCAGGAGTTCTTTTACGTATCCTCGGAGTTTCATTCTTTCTGCTTTACAAATCATCATTCAGCTGAGCCTGCACTCTATTTTCAAAATCACATTCAAATAATATTTGAATTAAACTCAATATTTACAGCAATGACTAGAAAGCATCTTGTATCTTTCTGTTTCTTCCTTGAAAAGGGACATTAGTGTGCCCTTAAAAGAATTATTAAGAAGATGATTGAAATTTAAATAGTTAAAACAACAGCAATGCACATTTTGGGGGTACCTACTATCCTTCTGAATGTACAAATGACCAGGCCAGAAGATTTTAATTGCACAGCAGTCATTAATCAGGCAGTCACCGAATAATTATCAGATTGCATTTGGCTTGAAAGCTAAGAGGGTAAAATATTTAATTATGAGTTCAAGAATAACATTTGGAGCTAAATTACAGCTTTGTTCACTATTGAACCCTGGGTGGGAGAAGAGGAAGAGACACAGCTTCTGAGAAGTCCCCCATTTTAATTGTGAAATTCAGCAAATCACAAAGCTGGTGATGGAGGTGAATAAAATTTCTCTAATATAATATTTTCTACTGCATACATATTATGTGGATCCATTATTTAAAGACAAAGAACTCTTAGCTTGGTTTGAAGTTTGCTCCCACACTGTCTTCTTTGAAAAGATGTGTTTATAATGGGAATGCTGACAGATCTACGCCAACAGATGCTTAAATACAGTGCACAATCAAAATAAGGACTGGATTTGACAAAATCCATTGTGGATTCTTTTCCCCATTATGGATGCTTCCATTATATTGATAATGATATGCCTAACCCAGCAAAAGTTTCTCAGCTGTAGAGAAAATCTATTCTCATAAGCAAGCACCTGCTAAACAAGACTGTGTGTTTCTAGAAGAGTTTCAGTGCTAAGGCTACTTTCCACTTCGCAAGAATATGGGAAATGTCACCCCTAGGAAACACTCTCAAAGTTTAAAAATATATTATTTTCAGACTGTGTGGGGTAGATATTGTCCTAGCAAATACTGTTATGGGAAACCACACATGCCTTCATTAGCATCATGGTGCTACTTGATTCAGAAATAAAATGAACTATGGTTCAGAACTTGGTTCAGAACTTGGTTCAAAAGATAAAAATGAATTATGATATGCATAATGCCCAAACAAAGAGACAAATACATAAAAAAAAATATGGGTTATATTATTTCTCTGGGACACCAGATGTGACAGGAGATCAGGCTCCATCTCAGGAAAAGTAGTCTTTGAAGCTAGGCTATTCAGATAAATAATTTAGCCTTGACCTTCCAGGTCTACCTGTCTAACACATTTCTGTGAGGTGAGGTGTTTTGCATCCCTATGACAGATGGCAGACCCGTATGATACATGGCAACACAACACGTACCTTTCACTGGTAAACAGTTACTCTGTTCATGAATCTTCCTTCTGAAGGCTGTTCCTCATGTAAGCAAATCTGTAATTGGCTTAGTTTTTTTCCTAAATTGCTGTGTCACTGAACAATTCACTTCCCACCAAAACCCAGGACTTCATATCAGATGAGACAGATTAAAAATCCAAGATCAGAAGTATTTTCCAAGGGATTATTTATTAAAAAAAGATGAAAGCCCACCAACAAGCAATGTCATGTGTCTAGAGGCCAGTTAGATCTTGTGGAAAGGGATAAGACCCCTAATGTGGGCTCTCTCATCAAGTGTTTAAGTTGAGGTGAGGTGACGCTAGGCTTAAGTCACCTGCTCAATATCACACTAACACAACAAGAACTGAGAGCTTAGACGAAAACATAGAACTTTTAGATCATCTTTCCTTTTCCCAGGTGTGTGCAGTTAAGTTTCATAGCACAAAATCAACCCAATCAATGAAAACTGACACCAGCCCAGGATGTAATGAAAATCTGGTTATAAACTGCAGCAGTTTTATTTTCTCCTGTGTAGCTGTCCAGTTGCCACCAGTAGGCAATTTGGATTGCAACATTTAGCACTTTCAAAGTATGTGAATTAACAGTTGCCTTTAGCATGGCTTAAACAAAACAGATGATGATGTAGAGAGGAAAAAGCATTCACTGAGTCTTGTTTTGGATGACCTACATAAAGTCCTTCTGGCCTCTCCAATGATCAGTAATAAAAGCCAGACTAATCCCACGTCAATTAAACTTTTATTCCTCCCACACCATAAAATTTTGTACGTTTGCTATGGGTCAAATTGAGCCTTCTGTGAAACAAAACTGTGCTAAGGACAAAGAGGATAGTGCCTGAGTAAACCCACCTGGCAAGAGGAATTTTGCTGCAGCATGTGAAAACCACAAATATTCCTGCTAAATGGAAGTGGTGGCTTATCCTGACTGCAAATATTCAACACAACTGAGAATGCAATTTTTAGGCATATGGAGTATCTCAGACAGTTCTGTATATATCAAGTACAGCTCCCCTTGATCTTAGCTGCAGATGTCAGATTTGGTAGTACTTTTCATCTTCTTCCCCTGACCCTTGACAAACTTTTTTGGCTGAGCTGTTCCCAGACCCCCTCGCAGCACACTGTCTTGACAGGTAGGTCACCTTGCTTTTGTTGCCCCAGATCAGTCTTTGACCCATTCCTTCTTGTGTGGGAAGTTTTAGGGGTCTAAGTCAGTCCCAGTCCTGTGTCTTGTCCCATGCTCCCTATTCAAGCAGTCTGCCAGCTCCTTATACCTACAGGCACCCAGCTGTCCTTTCCTCTTCTTGGTACAAACACTCTTTCCTTTCTGCCTTCCACCTGGATCTCATCTCTTTTGTATGTGAATCTGGATTTTTTTCTCTTCCCTAATGTCTGGTCATCACTGAGGGCAATGGATGTCCTTCAGAACAGAGATCAAATACAAGTTCTTGCTCTCAGCTCTACTGTCCAGTCAGAACTGGCATGGAGGATTCAGAGGAAACAGTCACAGAAAACACCACTCTTTGTCCAGGTCTCCTGCCTGCAGTATGCCCAACCCTGCTGTGTCACTGGAATATATAATCTGGTCAGATGTATCCATGCACACTCCTAATAAAGAGTCTCCAGAGACCTGAGCCTCCTGAAAGTCAAAGCAAATGCTAGTGGCAATGTGTAAGCCATAATTTTTCTGCATTATAATTTGCCTAATTTGTCACCAGGTTTGCAAAAGACAGCTCCTTCTCTGAGGTACGTAGTATTTTCATGAAGAGGTCATCAGAACTTTTGGTGCGGGCAAACCTCAAAGCTTTCCCCCATGTTTCATGTTAAAAAATGTAAGAAAAGAAAAAAGGGCATAATAGCGTGACAAAAAAAAAAAAAATCCCAGTCCATGTGCTCCTCCACTTAATATTATAAATGGTTGAAAGCAGTATAATGGCAACTTTCAGGCAAGTAACAGGATGGTCTGCCAGC